TATATATTATATATTACATACTATATTATATTATACTAGATTATATTATACTAGTTTATATGAGATTATACGACGGTTTCTTCCCTTAGCCTCCGGCGCAAATGGGGTCCTTGCTCTCTGGCGCACAGTTCAGCATGCCCACTTCGTTGATAATCGCCCCCTTGACGAAGGGATACTTCCTGACCGTCGCTAAAGCACCAGAACAACGGGCCAAAGCTTGACAGCTGCCTCTCGCACAGGGCTCCGGCAAATCAGCAGATCGCAAGTATCGGGAAGACAGCATGGCAAAGAAAACAAATCCGAGAGACTCCATGATGCCGGCCACTGCTTTCAGGTGTGACTGCAGCGTCTCGTAGCCACCGGAGGACTGACCGAGCAGGTTTCGAGTGGCTTTTATTTTCAAGACTAGAACTCACAAGACACAAACTCAATCAACAAGATCAGACATGCTTCGAAGCTGAATGAACAGCTGTGCCTTAGGAAGAAGCCCCGTAGCGTAGCAATACTGTACAAGAGCGACTAGCAGCGACTGTTGAGAATCTCTTCCCGCTGAACACATCATCTAGGGCCACAAGCATGCTCGGAAGAGAAAGCGGAAGGCACTACAGTGCTGCAACAGGATCAACCAATTTCCGTACGAATTAAATACCGGTGGCAAAAACAGTGCAAAACCATAAGACAGCGAAGAAGGCTCCAAAATCAAGAACGCTCTCGGCGGTATTGAGCAATAGTACGACCAGCTTCAGTACAAGTTTCGGCAAGAGCTTTCGGAATGCCCGCTGTCCTCCTCCAACACTTAAGGCGACAGCTTCGGACTTCTTGGCAACAATGCTTTGGGGGGCAGGGAGACGTCTCTGGGTCCAGGCTTGAGTACATGAAAAGGGGCCTTTGCAAATAGACTATGGGTATATTACCATAATGTAGGGTGATGTGGATAGGGTCTAGGGATTTTTTCGAGAAAAATTGTGGTAGGGACTATAGGGGGCTTTGGACAGGGTCGCCGGGCACGTTGCGCTATAGTTATGTAATATAGGGAGGTGTGCTGACAATATATGCAGCCTCCTATAGTATGATCATTAAGCGGTCGCGTGCAATTTCGAGATGCGGGCTTAGTGCCGAGAACACTCTACCCCTAGGCTCCATAGTAGTTCCTTTTGGGGGTCTATATTTAGGATTCTATACGGTAATCCCGAAAAGGAACTACCATGAAGCCTATGGGTACCCTTTCTTTGCACCTTATATAATCCCCAAAAAACCCCGAAACTATACCCGGGAGCTTCAAAGAACCGGGATTCACAATCCAGGCTCAAAAGACCCTGAATGGTTCGATCCTCTTTCTCAAGACCCTTATACCCATAGGCTCCATAGTAGTTCCTTTTTGGGATTACCTTCTAGAATCCTAAATATAAACCCCCGAAAGGAACTACTATGGACCCTATGGCCCCAAACTCTGAACACGGACCTCCGGCTGGCAGTCGTAGGCATAGAAGTGGAATCCGACATACACAGGACAGCCGCAAGATGCCTGGAGTTTCAAGGTTTGGGCTTTCATGATACCCATAGGCCCCTATATAAGTAGTTTCTTTTTGGGATTACCTTATAGGATTCTAAATATAAACCATAAAAAGGAACTACTTAGGGGCCTATGGGTAGGAGTAGAGAAAGTTTAGGTTCTACATGATTGCTAAGCTTACTTAAGGCTGCGGGCTGTTTGCTTGAAGCCTTGAGGCTCTGTGGCGCGTACCGCTGCTGCTGCTGCTGCTGCTGCTGCTGCAGCTGCAGGGATTACGTTCCCCACGCGACGCGAGGAAACATGACTCGATATGCCCCAGCCTGAAGAACCCGACAAATGTCCAGACCTCATGCCCGAACCAAGAAACCTCTTCAAGGCCTACGTCTGTAATCAGACTGAAACCGCAAGAAGTTTCTGCTTACACCCAACAATTATCGCCCTGCCGAGGTCGCCACATCAGTGCAACTGCAACTGCCCCCTTGGCAATCACAGGCGTGCTCGATGAACTTTTCTGCCTGGGCGCGGATTCTGGGCTTCGGACTTGAACATGCTACACTGCTACGACTATCTACGTACCACCGCACCTGTCGCCCTCAAAGCTGATGGCTACAGGTTCACCTCCGGGTTTGTTCGTTTGCAAGTAGCTTCCGCCAGACCTAAACGACAATCTGGAAAGGGGGAGGTTTGGAAGAGTTTCATAACATTCTACCATTGTAGTCAGTCCCTATACAGGCATATTATACTGTACCGCAAGCCCTCTTATTGTTCTACTTCTCCAGGCCCTTACATTTCAGAGCCCCCCGGGTCCCTTGTAGAACCCGTAGAGGAGCCCTCTTCTAATCGTTGAGGGATGCAGGGATGTGAAGGACTTCGGGGTTTACCTAACAGCGGCCAGCGTAAAGCCATTGAACCAGCAAAAAAAAAGATAAACAGCCAAATGAAAGCTGGAAGAGAGGCAGACAATAGCTGATCCAGCGGCTAAAGAAAAGCTGAAACAAAGCTACATTAAAGGCTGCACGGCAGGACTTAGCCCAGAAACTGTTTCACCTCCCTTGTAGCCCCAGAGCGAAGATGAAGGGGATGGGGCGAGGAGTGGACAGTCCCGTGTGGGATCCCAGGCACTGGGGCTGCAAGGGATATGCAGAAGCTGACCCGTCTCTATTCTAGCTGTAATCCCTAACCCCACCGCCCAGCCTTGGTATATGTAGCATTTTTCAGCTTGATTGCAGCTTGTGTGTAGCTCTTTTCCATAGCTTTTACCGGGACTTGCCGCATGATGGGATTGCCTTTCGGGCAGCTGTTTTGGGCAACTTTGTATCAAACATGCTTACGGGTTTGGGATTTAGGGTCTCAGGGCTTACTCTTTGCCATGCATAAGTAGTGCTAGGCTACTCATTTAGGCCTCGCAGAAAAGGGGCCCTGCCAAGCACTGTACACACTGACACTTGTACAGCACAGCAAGAAACGGAAACCCTGAAACCTGAAGCCGTAAAACCACGAAACTCCAACACACCTCAAGATTATTTTTTTGATTAAGGTCAAGCCACGTAGTCCACGTGTTCCGCCACAAGCGGTGTCGACAGATACTTGTAGCCCTGCACAGGGCGTTAAAGGGTATGCGAGACCGCCGCATTGCTTTCGGCGCTGCTTATTCCAAAGCATCAATTTGCACGCATGACCCTCATAAAAATCACAAGGATCCGCAGCTCCCCCTACTTTGTCCTGGAGCACTTCGTCTGAAACGATGCACCGTGCTCTTGCGACTAGGCGACGATAGCATGGACCTTCAGCCTGCGTCCCTGAACACTTAGAGCTACTCAAGAAAGAATCCCGGTGCCGGGCTCCAAACATGGAAGCTAAGCCCTACGCAACCTCGATGGCAAAATTCGGGTAGGACCCTCGGCTCCTCTGTGGGTGAGAGGGGAGCAGAATCAGACCTTACTCGCTCTCTTAGCTTAGGGCTTAACAGCGGATTTCGGGCCTTCGCAACTGCCAGTGAGGCCGTCCCTTTCCAGTAGCCCATCACGGTGTCAGTGCAGGTGGGATCCTCCCCAACGGGGCGGCTCGAACAAGGGTCCTTACTGGCAACCCGAGAGCCTGGAGAACAGAAGAAGAATCGACATGATAATAACTTTTGTAGTTACTAATGACTTACTAGTGTTGTAGTTATGATTTAGTATTGCTAGTATTCTTAAAGGTAGTGTTCTGGCTTGTTTTCCATACCTGTATAGTTCTGATCATTAATGTTGCCAGTATTGTTGCTTTAAGTCTTCTTAGCACATCGTGTATCCATGTCTATGTATCTTATTGATGCGCTGGCTGGTATTGCGTATGCCGTTGAGCAATGTGTTTGTTCAACAATCTTGAAAGTTTGCGTAACACTGGTAATTATACTTGCTTACCAATATCTCTCGATTTAAAAGTCTTGGTCTGCTGATATAGGTGCATGTGCGGTCGTTTGGCTTATTATGAGGACACATGAATCAGGGTATGTAGGCATGCGTACAATATGTCCACACACATACAGCCACACACGAGCACAGGCGGACAGACACGCACAGAAAGAGAGAGAGAGAGAGACACACACAGACAGGTCTGTTTCAAACGCGCGGAACCCTCAGAAGTGTCCCGCACTTGCCCTCTAAGCGTCCAGACTGTGGACATCGAACCAACTATGCTACACCGATTCATAGCCCCAGGGCTCCACTGATGTAAAGGTAGGCTACTAATGCTAACTCAGCAGCCTGCTGCGTAGGTCGCCAGAACCCTGGGTCCTAAGAAATCTACCTTAAGTACCGATGACGCCCTCCTACACTCCTCCCAAACGCTCATCAGCGGCTGCAGTCCGCTGCATCCGGCGAGTTGCCAGAATCCAACCCCTGAGGGTTGACCAGTCAGACACTACGGGACCCGTTGCATTATGCATCTTTACCGGCAGTAGGCTTGGCGTGAGAGACTGGCACTGTTGAAAACAGAAGATGATGGGTGATGACAATGCTCGCAGGTTGAAGATGAAGCTGCTGGTTATCATGATAATGGTAGTCAAGGTTTTGGTAACCTAGCAAGCCTCGGAATAAACACGTTCCATTGAAGATCACTTGTAAGATTACCACCAATATCTCTCATCGCACAGGAACGAGAAAACGATGTGGTGATGATGAGGAGGAGGAGGAAGATGAAGAGAACCTGCTCCCACGAACACGATAAGCAAGTTGATGATAGTGTCTCCAAGACAGGCGACGAAACACGCTATGCACCGAAGTCTAGCCATCGGTTTACACTCAACCATATCTCTCAGCTAGCACAAAGATTGCAAGGGATGGGCTCTCGAACACCCTAAGCCAGCTATGATGAATCCAATCGCGAGGCAGCAGAACCCCGAATCTCACCCCAAACCCTAAAGCCCTAAAGCCCTAAACCCCTAAACCATAAACCCTAAAGCCCTAATCCCTAAGCCCTAATACCCCAGCAAAGCCCCATGCCAGGCCTGTGGCATGTGAGAACTGCCAGCAGTTGCACTGGCCCTGACAAAGCTGGAGTTGATGCCATGCCGGAGTATGGCTTCAGGCATCTCAGGGATATCATATACAACATATATAAAAATATATATTATGTAAATAAACATAAGTGCATGCGTGCATTCATAAATGTGTATATGTATACGTATATATAGTTATTTATTTACTTATTTATTTATATTCATATTCATATTCATATTTATATTTATACTTATATTTATGTTTATGTTTATATTTAGATTTTTCTATTTGTTCATTCGAATGTACATAATGCACACAAATGCGCAAGCTTGACAAGATTGACGGGGCCAGGGGCCAAGCCCCAGCGTCCGGAAGTAAGAGTCTCAAAAGGCATCCTTGATACGGTCTTGGTGTTTACGGTTTAGGGTCTAGGCTCGAAGACTTGCTTCAAATGCCTTAGGGTTTAGGGCTCCGCGTCTTGGGGGCATCTACACGCTACTTGAAAGCTTCACCTACATCCAAAGCCCCATCCTGGCGGCACCCTCGTACCTAAATCCATCAGCTCTAAGCTGCAAGCCCCAAAACGGGGTCGGAATAAATATCAGAACTAACATCCGCGTGGGCTTCTATATTAACTTGACGGCGAATTCGCCCATCGGGTCTCGCAGCCTTCGAGTTGGGCGTTCCAGGAGGATCCCTGCAGCATAAGGCGCATGGCTGTAAAAGGAATTTGTGGTTCAGCGGCTGAGGGTGTGCTTGTTTTCTGCTTCACCGTCACTTTTTCCTCCTCCGGTCGGTCGCCCGTTGGTAAGAAAGCCGGATGTTCGGAGTTAGGGTTGCGAAGGCTTCACAACCCAAGCCACGAAACCGAAACCACGAAGCTCGTCTATTGCAAAAAGCCGCACTCCCTAGACCTGGACCCGAGGCCAAAAATTCTAGACCCTCTCTAGGTGCCGAAAACTCAGCCAGAAGAATATTTAGAATCTGCCTGTTGCAGCCCACTGCTGCTGCTACTGCTGCTGCTGCTGCTACTCCTACTACTACTACCACCACTACTACTACTACTACTACTACTACTACTACTATTGCTACTACTACGACGACTACT